CTAATGTGCAACCAAAATTGAGATCCACTGGGTAAGGGCAGCTGGTCATTGTGAACCAGACCAAAGCTATGTAACCACATGAAGGTTCTCCTGTCATTGCTGTTCTTGAGTGTTAAGGAAGTTTACTGCAGCTTCCCTTCTTAGAGTTGGTAATTAGGTGTGGTCATTAAGGCTATTCAGTTTAATCCCAATTTACTCTTAAGAACTGGTGTCCATTTGACAGCATCACAATCAAGTAAAACAATTAATCTATATGACCCAATGCCACCAGAGAAAAGAGAGGAACTATGGAAGCGTCAACAAAGTAGAAAGTAAAGCAGTGGCCCTTTCTTTTACCGTGAGCAGTGGTTCCTTCTCAGGGAACCCACAGCTGAGTGAAGGGGAAGTGGGCATCCTAGGAAAAGAATACCAGAAGGGTATATGATGATCCCTTGGCATTCTATGCAACACTTCGATTCAGAACTTTCTAACTCCCAGTATCATTGAATATTCAGTACGTCATAATTCTTTTCAAAAACTCTTATTTACTTTACATAGGGAGATAATTCGTCCTCTCTATTCTTTTGTACAGTAATTAACTAATGTTTAAAAGAGTAACTTTGTAAATTTATTATAAAAGCAAAAGAAATTTTACAAAAAAGACAAAAATAAAGATCTGTAGTTCCATCATTTAGAGATAACCACTATTAGCACTTAATTGTATATTATTTCAGAGTTTTTTTGGTGTACACACTTAAACACATTTTAATAGAAACAGTGTCCATTAGTAAATACTCTCACAGCAAGCTTGTCATTTAACAATATTCTTTTTCCATGTAATTTAATAACCTGCTACAACATTATTTAAAAGCACAGCATATTGAAACTTTGGTTGAACAGTGATCCACTTGATCAATCCCCTATAATTGGATATATAGGCTGTTTCCCCCAGATTGCTAATCACTCCAGAAATGATAATGCCAAAGAACATCATTTGGTCTTTGAATCCATGACTCTTGCCTCAGAGCTAGCTGAGGAAGATGCAGAAGAAAAGGAAACAACATTTTATCCACTCAGTGTTACTAAGTGTGTAGTTTTATGTGACTTGGAGAATAACTAGCTGGTGCAAGTTGCTAAGGAAAGCACGGTAATGCCATGGAAATGATATCAGACAACTCAGCTGCTACTGGCCATCATGTACTGCCCACAGTGGATGCCACGTTTTCTCACTGCGCTGCTGAGAAGCACCTGCAAACCCCAGAGGGGCTCTGCCTCCTGCCTAATATGTCAGCGGAAGCCGGCACATGGGTTTGGGCTAACTTTGGTTCTCCTTGGTGCCACTCTTCTCCCCTTCTGGTCTTAGAATGAATCCCGTCTTTTCAATAGAACCATTCCTGTGATAGGTCTGTGGGTGGATTAAAACATTTAATGGATTATAACATTTAAATCACCAAGGAAACCTCTGAAGGTAAGATTTTGGTTTCTCTGGCTTACATAATTTATATAATTATTTGTTCATGTAGCATTTATGTATCATTTTTCTGATTGTTTCATACTATATGAAATTTCCTGGCAATTCCTCAAGTGTAGCTGCCCATGCAGTTATCAACTCCATGGCAATAAAGCAAATAAATGATTGCAGGGATGCCTTGCATTTGGATCAAGTGAACACCAGCCTTTTGAGCTGCTAAACTGAATTGGACACCTCAGTTTGAGGGAACAATATCTCTTCTGTTTCATTAATTCTGTTAAAACTGTTCACAGAGGAGAAAACAGGTTTTCTTAAATTTGGAGTACCAAGATAATTTACGTTTGTTAGGATTTGACGTGCCTGTGTCTCTGTGGCATGCATAAGGGTCATTAGATAGTTACTTTTAAGGTGGGCTGGTATACTTGCATTCAATCTAAAAATAAAAACAATTATTTATTGCATTTTTACTCTGGCAGAATCTGTTTGCCAAGTCTGCTGAGACAAAGAGGAGCAAGAACTATCCCTGCCTTCCAAGGATGGACACACACACACACACACACGCACACACACACACTAGAATCCAGTTCTGGCTGAGATAAATGAGAACGTGGTGCTCTAGAGCATGCAGACGGAGCAGCTCATTGGCTGGGCACTGGAAGAAGGATTCTGAGGGGAGGGCTACTGGGTTATTTCTGGATGGAAGACAAGTGGGGAATAGGCTTCAGAAGCTAAGGGGACCATCTGAACCATGCTATATGTGTTAAAACACGGGGTGTAGTCAGAAATGGGCAAATTATTTAATGAAACTGTTGCTTAAGGTACCCACGGGGCAAGATTTAGCTGAAGAAGCAGGTTACAGTCAAATGTGTGGAGAACTCTGGTCACTAAAGAACTTGGGCTTTCTTAGGTAGAAATGGGAACTCTGGGAGTCTTTTGGGAAAGGAGGTGACATTAACAGATCTGCATTTGAGAAGACGACCCCGGTAGCTTTGGGGAGGTAGGGAGACCAGTTAGGAGGCCATTTCTATGGTTCAGGAAGCAGCTAGGGAGACTTGAGTCAGGAAATAGAAGGAAGTAGGAATGAAGGACAGCACAGAACGTGCTCTTTCTTACGAAGAACTGGTAGCACTTCCAAGTGCACCTGTTTCCACATCTGGGTTCAGAAACACTTATTTTGGGGAAAGATTAGAAAGATAAGCAAAAGATAGGAGACAGGACTGCAGATGGCAGCCTATGAAGTTTTCAGTCTTTCTTGGTGGTTATTATTTAATTATGAACTCAAAATTCTTCGAGTTCCTCCAAAACATTCTATAAAATTAGGAATGCATGCAGAACACCAATTTTATTATACTACGTTTAATTATATATGTGTGTGTGTATATACATATATATACATATGTTTGTTATGTGTGTATGTACATAATCATATATATGTATATATATATGTGTGTTTGTATGTATGTATGTGTGTGTGTGTATATATATATATATATATAGATAGATAGATAGATAGATAGATAGATAGATAGATAGATAGATAAATAGATGCTGAAAAGCCTATAACAGGCTTTCAAATAACATTATGGCAAACAGGAAAGCAATTCTGAATGAAATTCTCAGATTGTTCATGTGCCAACAGGTGGAACCCACTGGGTTACAACTCCATGCTGCAGTCTCCTTGGCACTTTGTTTGTACCTCTTTAAGGCACGCACCATGCAGAGCGACTTGGAAGAGGTGTTTTAAGAATCTCTCCTCTCCTCTCGGCCATCGTGAACGCCCTCGAATGCAGGAACCATTCTCGGCTCACCTTCAGGCCCCTCAAAGCACTTGCACAGCGTTAGTGTTGAAGGAAAGGGAAGGGGGGAAGGGAAGGGGGTAATAAGAAAATTACGCCATGGGGGTGAGACTCTGGGCACAGGCGTGGCTGAGGGCAGATAGAAAAGATTACATGGCCACCTGCTAATGAAGAGTTCTCCACGCTGAGGATTCAGTACACGAATGAACCTGAGTCACTGGAAATACTTCCAGTAGGTTCAGGGAGGAAAACTGACTAGTCAGCCCATGGTAGGCTTCTGAGGAAGAAAAAGGATGTCCCAGTTTGAAACAAAGTCACATCACTGGCTAGAAAGAGGTCATACATGATCATCTTAAATGAACTCCTGGCCGAAAGACAAGGGCCCTTGTTTCTTTTGTTTATTCATTCCTAAGGAGCTGAGATTACAGGCTCTGGAGCCAGCCTCCCTGGGCTTGAGCCCTGGGTTCCTCTCTGTGATTTGGCACCAGTTGCTAAATCTCTCTGTGCCTCAGTTTCTGCATCTGTAAAGTCAGAGCATTGATGTTATGCGTCATGTGATTGCACTAGGAAGGGAGTTGAGTGGCTGACCAGATGTAAAGCTCTTAGGTCAGTGCGGGGTCCGCTGCTTACTAATGTCAGCCTTTGTATGTGGCATGTGGGCTGTATTTAGTGGTCCTGATCAGGCAGTTGAAACCCTGGAAATAAAGATGAAGACGATACCACCCCATCCCCCACCCCCAGAAGCTCAAAGTCTGCTGGCCATGACAAGTGGGAATAAATGCTTATAGGCCAACAGGGGAAGTGCTACAGAAGAGGTATGTGTCCCTACTGCCCAGAGCAGAGAGGAGAGTGAGGAGGGAGGGCGGAGCTGAGACCTGTCATCTGCACCGCCCAGCGAAGTGCACCCAGCTTTATCGGGCCCACTTTACATTCCCTGTGTTCTTGCACAAACTTCCTATGTCAGCTTCCCTTATTATGGAGAGAACCCCAATTTCTTCCAGATCCACTGTGAAGAAAGCATAATTGGGTGTTTTCACTCTAGCTATCTTGAATGAGGAAAAGATAAACAGGTGTTGGTGTGTGGATTTAGGGGTTATTCCACGGGAATGGGATGGAGGAAGGGAGCAGCTTCTGCAGAAAGAGTTGCAGGGCAGATGCAAGTTTTAGTTAAATAAGCAGGCATCCCAGAGCCTTAGTGAAGAAGGAGGAGATAATATGATGGGTCTTATGGGTCCGTACCTTGGGTCCAGCTACCCAATGCCCCTATCAGTCAATGGCGCAGATGGGAAAGACCACAGGGAAACAGTGACGTTCGAAGGCTTCGTTTCTTTCCTTTTTCAGGTTTATTGCTCTATCAAGGAGACTTTGTCACTAAGAGATCGCTGAGTAGAAACCTGGAAACTCTGACTCTCAGTGGATTTGGGAGAAGCTGTTGGCTCTTTGTGGGCCAGCTCTGTTTCATGTGGTGCTACCCCGCCCTGTAACAATCTTGCTTGTGAAGTGCCTCCTATGCACATTTCATTTGATTTTCACACTTGCACTGTAAGGTAGGCCCTGTGGGGTGGGCCTTAGGGTTATTCTCTGGGACACATGCTGATAAGTAAGGCTCAGCTTGTCCAGAGGTGGGGGGGGGCGGAGGAGGGGAGCGGGGTGGGGGCCACCAGTACTCCGGCCTGGGTGTCCTGACCTTGGCTGTGAGCTTTTGTTCATCTCCCTCTGGATTCAGCGAGCAGTTAGCAAAACAGACAGCTTACCCCCTTTCCTTCTTCCACAGAACGAAAACTTGGGTAGATCGTCTTCACAGACGGGATAGGAGAAATTCAAAATGGATGATCCTTTAGAGAACAGAGCTATGTCAAGAAACAGCTCTTTGATGTCCTCTCCTAAAAGGAGTAAGAAGCCCAGTTTTACTATTAGTGGGGGTTTTGCTGTGTATCCAAGCATTCCACATTTATGAAAGCATGAGCCAAAGGACTTTTTATTTCCACAGTTCTGCTCTGTATGGGGAATAGTTTGTTCTCTTACTGGTAAAGCAGCAGTTAAGCAATGCTGCAGGGAATTATGGCAGAAGCCCTGGGCATGAAATGTGGCCCTTTCATAAGCTCTCTGTTTGGAGCAAGGTAGTTACTTCACTGTGCTCCCTGCCCTGGTGCTGTGGCCCCTTAACGCGATGGTGGCAGGTCCAGCTTCTGCAGCTTCTCAGCTGCATAGTCTTATGTACCTCCTCTGAGAGTGGCAGGGTGTAGTCAAGCCTGCATGCTCCACCCCACCTGCTGCTGGGTAGACAGCATACCAGGGCTACAGAGGGAGCTTCGAGCACTCTGCAGGGCTGACTTCCAGTTCTCCTGCCTTTTTCTTTGTCCCTTTTATATATACCACCCACTCCTCTTTCTATTCCCCCCATCCCTCCCTCCCTCCTTCCCTCCCTTCCTTCCTTCCTTCCTTCCTTCCTTCCTTCCTTCCTTCCTTCCTTCCTTCCTTCTCTCCCTTTTTCTTTCTCTCTTTCTTTCCCCAAAGCATTTACTGAGCTGATGCTATAGAATGCAGATATTTTACAAGGTTCTGGAAATATGAAGATGCATGGGAGTTCCTGGCCTTTGCAAATGTTCCCTCCATTTCTCTGGAATGATTCCACATGCTAAGTTTATTAAATCCTTCTGCTCTGGTTTTGATAAAACTTTTAGAAAGGAGATACTCTGGTAGCTATAGCAATATGATGACTATAAAAATAAACAATGAGAAAGCATTCTAGCTCATTGGTTGGGGTGTTGGGAGAATATACTACATGTTTTCACCTTTGTTAAGATTTAAGGACATTCATTAGTTATTTGGGAAATGAAATAACACAATTTACTGACCGTGCTGCTAGCAGTAGACTTATTTGTTGCTGAGATAACTAAACAAAAGCTCTCTCCTGAGTAGACTTCTAGGCTCAAAATATTTTCAATTTTTTTGGACATACTGATTCCAGGTACCTATATCCTTCAAATGAGGATCTAGAGTTTTTTCAGTACAAAAGCACAACATTAAATAAGCATTCAACACTATCTGGATATTCCCCAGGAAGAGAACTGGGAATGAAGATGAAAACAGAGTTAATTCCATGGCATGGTGGGGAAGAGTGGTTTAGTCAGCCATTATAGTTCATGTAAGTAACTGAGTGTGTGGACCAGGGAAAGATTGGGCAATATCTTCTTTTATGTCAGTAGTTTTTACTTACTCAGAATGATTCCAAATCTAATGTTGATATTTGATTTTAATTGTTTAGAACACTCATCAACAGAAAAGCCAAAATCCTGTAATGGATCTGCCAAGAAGAAAATAATAGATTAGGTATGAGTACATTGTATATTCTGCAAACTCATATATGAAATTCATACCAATTATAATTATTTTTCTACATACATCAATAAAATTGATTAAAAAATATGGCCCAGCACTTTTTTTGCGTAAGTCCATGACACCTTCAATAAATAGTCCCTTTCAAGTCTCTGCAAAGTCTATGTTGGTCAAGGTCATGTTCACTTTAATGACAGGGTCTCAGTCTGTGAAATGGGCAGTGTCTTGCTGGGTGGGTTACATCTGTACTTGTTAAAATTTTTATCATTGTTTGAAATTTTTTAGTTTCTGAACTTTGGCCTTAAAGTTACTCATTGATTACACAAAACATTTCACAAAGTATTTATTATTTTAATTGAAGCAGAGAGAAATATATACAGGTTTTATAAGTTAAGACCAGGTTTTATAAGTTTAACCCATCCCATCTCATTCAATGTAATAATTTTTTCCCAAACATTCCACTATATGAAAGGTGTTGTGGTAGATATGACAGGGACTACAAAGATATTATTTTTTTACACATAACCTCTGGTTATTCAAAAAACTCCAAGGGCTCATCTATGCCTAAGAATAAAGTCAAGAGATGTTCTGATGGCTTTACCTTCCATACTGCAGTATGGATCTATCCTCCATTTCTTGAGATCTGGGTGGCAATGTAAGCACCCAGTAAATTCCTGTAACTCGGGGGGGAAAATAGGTTACCAGCCCAGGGCAAATAACCTTTGAAGCCAAAATCAGTCAAAGGGAGAAATAAAGTGGGAGAAACCCATTTATTGCTTACAAACAGTCATCCATTTCTGCTCACCCATGTCTCTTGTGACCCAGCTGCAAAAAAGGACCCCACCAAAACTTTCCAGTCCAAGCATCTATTGATATGGAGATGCACTAAGGCCAGGCAAGAGATTCTGGAAATATTTCAGTTTCACCCACAATTCCCATAATGTTAGATTGTTCATATACTTTCTCCCATTTCTCATGGTCTTACCCCTTTGGGCTATTGTCTAAATACTAATGTCTTGCTCATTCCCATCTTTTTTGGGAAGGCTTCTCTGCTAGTCCCCCAAATAGTCTTTAGCTTCCCTGAGTTCCTAAAACAGTCAGGTCTGAAATACCTTTTAAAGTGTATACAAACATGCATTACTTTGTACTTTGCTCTTTGACTTATCCAGCGACATGTAATCCAAACACACAACTCCTGAAAGGCAGGAGCTGGTTTTCATTTTGTTTGTTTTGTTTTGTGTTTCTTTTTCCTTTTTGTTTCCCATTGGGCCTGAGAAGAGGAGAGCTGATTTTCACTGAGAGAGTCCGTGTCATCCTCTTCTTGGAACTGTGCTCTTTATAGAACTTAATTTTCAGACTCCTTAGTGCCCAGCACAGAGCCACGCAGACACATCGTAAGCGCTCCATAGATGTATATAACGAATGGATGATGGGCCATGTATTGCGCTATCATACAAATCCAGCCCTCTGAACCCTGCTGTGTGGAGCTGGGGCTCTCTGCAATTACGTTTCTCTTTGTCATCTTCCAGCAGAGGTGGCAGAGGGAGACAGACTGAGACAGGAAAGGGACTTGCTGTTTTTGCATACTGGCTGGTCCTTGAGAGTGTTACCTGGCGATGGCCTATCACCCTGGCAGTGGCAGTTGGTTCCAATGTCCGGCTCTCTTTGCACTTTCCCAGAACCAGCTGAGGCTCAGCTCTGTGGGCCCCTAAGCTTCTGTAATGACAGGGCCTTGGAAGCTGCCACGCCTTCCCCGGCGTGGATCTGTGAATCTCAGCAATCCCGGGCCCTTCTTTCAAGCTTCCAGTTCTAGTGGCTCCACCCTCTGCTCTCTGTGCTCTCAGCCCTGAGGAGGTAACTGCTTCCTCACTGTCCCTTTTTGTTTCTTTGGTTCTCTAACACTGCTTATTCCCTATCCCCTAGATCAAATTCTCTCTGTTAAATTAACAGACACAGTCTCTGTTTCCCTGATGGGACCCAGAGTGATACAATAAATGACAATCGTGAGAGAAAGGAATGATTTTCCTCATTTCACAATGGGAAAATAGAGAGCTTGTATTACTTTACCCAGGTTTAAGAACTAGAAAATGGCAAAGTCAAGATTCAAACCCAGACTTAAAAACAAAACAAAAAGTTGTGGTTCAGCATTGTGCAGAGGCATTCACAAAGTGTGGCCTCAAAGATGTATGTTGGTTATTTAATTGAAAGATTGCTTGGAGTACTTTGTGTGCAGGCATATGGCACAGGGTAGTTCGATTTCATAATTGGCTTCAATTTCAGCTGAGCTATGAGCTCATATTTGTCAATGACAGTGTTCCAGGCAGTTTTACCGTCCACATCGCTGACCTGGAAAATGTGTAGTTTGTGGTGTGTGCCGCGGCAATGACCACTAGGCTATCTCTGCTTTGCAGACCTAATCTGGGCGCTCTTTTGGTTGATCAGACTGTCTTTAATCTGGTCACTGATTTTCCTGGGTGGGAAGTCACTTTTTAGGTTCCTTTTGCTCCTTCACAAGCATCTCTGTGCTGTCCCAGAGCCTCTTTCCAGTTGGGAAATGGGAGCTGGAGGTAGGGAGACAGTTGTTTCTGCCACATATTCGGCACTCAGTATCACAAAAAGACAGGCAACTTACAAACATTTAAGTGCATGCTGCCTCAAAATTGTGAATGAATTTAAGCTGCTATCTGAGGAAAGATAAAAGGGGCTGACTAAGCACGGCTTAGCTGATTAACTGTTATTGCATTGCGCTGTATGTTTATCAGTATTTTAAAGGTATAGGTAGAAGGAATAAACTGAGGGAAGGCGAAGGAAGCAAAGCATCTCCTTGGTATTGGAAAGAAATATTACTGTTGGGAAAATAATCTTAATAAGGAACAAAGTCACAAGGAAAGAGCGGTAAGTTGCTTCTCTCTGAGGATGTGTAAATAAATACAGAAAGATTGCTTAAAAAGGGTTTAGGATTTTGGTGATCTTTCTTGGCAGTTATTTGAATTTTGTAATTGAGAGTGGTTTTACATTTGGGAGTGAATTTGCTGTTTGCCGTTGTCTTGGGGAAGGTGACATCAGTCCCTCCCACCCCCTGATCCTATCCCTGCAAACCCATGTCCTTCCCTCTCTTGATTTGTATTTTCACTCAGGCACTTCACACACTCTATATTGCAATGTGTTTTCTTTTACACCTCTGCCATTCCTCTACTAGATGTTGCAAGGTGGGCTTCCCCACCTCAGGGCCTAGCATATGTCTTAAGATTATACTAGGTTCCAAGTGATTGTTTGCTCAATGAATAATAAGGGTTTATTTGCAGGAAACTTGTTGAGAACTTTAAAGCAGGTTTCTCATTGACATTTTGGGCCAGATAGTCCATTTTTGTGGGCACTGGCCTATGCATTATAGATTATTAGTAGCATCCCATGGCTCTACCCACCAGGAGCCATGGGCAACTCCCACCCCCTGCCCCTTACCAACTCCAGTTGTGAAACTCAAAAATGTCTCCAGACATTGCTGAATGTCCTCTGGGGAACAAATTCACATCTTGTGGAGAACAACTGCTTTAAAAAATTATTTTCTCGATTACCAGGCAAGTGCCTTAGACTCACCTTTCAGAATAAAAGACAGTGGGTTGCATTTTTAAGTGTTTCTTCTTATATATAGTATAGAGAACTGATTGGGGGACATAGAGGGAGAGATGCTCTTGGACACTTGCCTCAGGTAAATTTTAATACATATAAATTGGATTATCTGAATGTGGATCTTCTGAAAGAATAAAATTGGAAAGTTAATGAGGGTTGGTGTTCCTGGGCTTTGAAGGCAGAGATAAATGTTTCCTACAGACACTTCATTGTGTAACAGGCAAATGAGCTGAGGAGAGAAGTGAAAGCTTCATTGTGAAATATATGATTTGTTCATTTTGAGGTTTTTTTTTTTCCATAGCCTCTATGTTCCTCCCCTGCCTGTCCTGTCACCATCTATGGCCTCCACCCAAGGGAGGATTGTAGTTGCAGTGAGTGAGCCCACATGTCCCCAGCCTGTCCCTGCTGTGCCCTGTGCCTGGGACACATGCACACTGAAAGCAAGTCCTCTAAACAGCGAGAGCAAATCCTGCTGCGGGTGAGGAGGAGGCTCTGGGGAAGCAGCCGGCAGGTTCTGCCTTGCACACCCAGGGTAGTGACGGTCAGATGTGTCCTGGAACTGCGTTCTTGCCCATTCACAGAGCAGAATAGATTTGAATGAAAGAAAAATGGATGGGGCTTAGCACGAGCAGGGGCTTAACAAATCTCAGACCGTTTTTGTGCCTTAGGCTCTGAGAGTGGCCTGTGCTCCCCCGGACTGGGCTGGAACGGGGCGGCTGCCCAGGGGAAGACAAGCTTGCCTTGCCGGTTTCCAGCCAGGCCTGGGCTTCAGCTGGAACCAGGGAACAGAAAACAAACCCAACAGTGCAACCCCTGAAGCTCAGTTCCTCCCCAGGGACAGTAGGCCAAGCCTGACGGGCCCCGGGTGGAGCAGTCCCCTGGCTCCAGGCAGGCCTGCTTCCTGGGTCCTGGAGTCCACGGTGTGGTACACGGCAGCCTCAGTGGAGCTGGTCGGGTGGTTTGAGGAATAGAGGGAGGGCCAACTTTCACGCTGCTAGCCCTGTTTTTCATATTTCATAGTTCTGCTTAAGATTTTTTTCTTTAATGTTCTATTTTGAGATAATTATATCTCACCGGAAACTGCAAAAAGCTGCAGAGATTTATGTACCCTTCACTCAGCTTCCCTGCATGGTAACATCTTACATAGAGACTAGTATCAAAGCCAGGAAACTGACATTGGTATAATCCACAGAGCTTGTTCAAATTGTACCAGTATTACACACACTTGTGTGTGTGTGGGTACACGTGTGCTTGCAGTTTGATTACTTAGGTTTTAAAAACTGTTGCAAAAAACAAATAACCTGATTAAAAATTGGGCAGAAGACTTGTGCAGACATT